TGAAACGGGGAACGTGTACAAATTGAAAAAGGCGTTGTACGGGTTAAAGCAGTCTCCTCGGACATAGTTTGGCAAATTTACCACAGCTATGAAGAAGTTTGGTTACCGACAGGCCAATACTGATCATACTCTATTCATTAAACACAGGGCTGGTAAGGTGACTTTGTTGATTATTTATGTTAATGATATGATTATAACTGGTGATGATACTGTAGAAATCGAGGAACTGCAGAAACGTTTAGCATCTAAATTTGAGATGAAAGATTTGGGCAGTCTGAAATATTTTCTGGGAGTGGAAGTCACTCGATCTAAACATGACTTATTTCTTTCACAAAGAAAGTATGTCATGGACCTGCTAGCAGATACTGGGATGCTTGACTGTAAACCAGCTGATACACCTATTGTTGAGAATCATAAACTTGGTGTTTATGTGGATCAGGTCCCAACTAACAAAGAAATATATCAAAGGTTAGTTGGGAGATTGATTTATATATCATTGACACGCCATGATATTGCCTATGCTGTAAGCATTGCTAGCCTTTTTATGCATTCACCTAGTGAGGATCATATGGCTACTGTAATGCGTATTCTGAGTTATTTAAAGTCTACTCATGGGAAATGTTTATTAGTTAAGAAAAATGGTCACTTGGATCTGGAAGGTTACACTGACGCAGATTATGCCGGGAATATTACAGATAGATGTTCTACATCAGGTTACTTCACCTTTGTTGGTGGTAATCTAGTTACGTGGTGTAGCAATAAGCAAAACGTTGTGTCTCGATCCTCCGCAGAGTCTGAGTATAGAGGGATTGCCCAAGGCATTTGTGAAATACTGTGATTGAGTTGGTTACTTGCTAAAATTGGGTTTAGACCGAATGTTGCTACAAAACTCCACTGTGATAATCAGTCTACATTTGAAATTGCTAACAATCCAGTGCAACATGATTGAACTAAGCATGTAGAAGTTGATCGGCATTTCATTAAAGAGAAGCTGGAGCATAAGTTAATTTCTATACCTTTTATGCATTCTTCAGAGCAGCTTGTAGATATGTTGACCTATGCTGTGTCAAAGCGCCGATTTGAAGACTCACTTGACAAGTTGGGCATTACCGACATATATGCACCAACTTGATGGGGAGTGTTGGCGTGAGTCAACGTTCCTATTAGGAATAGAATTTCTATTTTATTGTAATTATCTAATTTGAGTAGAATTATGAGATTTTGTACATATTTCTCATTTGTAACCACTCTGTATGTAGTATATATATTCCTCCTTAAGAGAAGAATAAACATATCAGTTTTAAACCCTAATTATTTTGAGTCATTTTTATTGGGTTTTGTGGTTGTGCCAGTCTACATACATGTCAAACTGTGATTGGCCTACTTTCAAGTATTTTCTGTAAGTACCCACATGACCCCATTCTAGTTTCAATTTGATCAAGAAATTTCAATGTTTAACTCCTGCTGCTAAAATATATAATTGAAAATTTCCTTGTTCACTGTACAGGGGAGAGAGTTGGTAGCAACTTGGCTAGATTCGTGATGAGCATATGGATATTTGTTGTGCTAATACTGACAATAAACTACACAGCAAGTCTAGCGTCACTATATACAGTTCAGCAACTCCAGCCAAGTGTTACTGATATAAAGGATCTTGTAAGGAAGGAGGAAAACATTGGCTACTTAAACAATTCTTATGTTTACGATATCTAAAAACAAGTAGGTTTTGATGATTCCAAGATTAAGGGGTTTAGAACTATGTGGGAAATTGATGAAGCTCTTTCAAAAGGAAGTGGAAAGGGTGGTGCTGCTGCTGTTGTTGATCAAGCGCCCAATATTGTTCTAAATATACTATGATTGGACCTATCTTTAAAACTGATGGCTTTGGCTTTGTAAGATCTCTCCCCTCTTTGTACAATACATCTATTCTCTCCTTTTTAATAAAAGACATGGACAAGCCAACGAGGTCTAGTCCAATATAGTCTAATCAATTTTTTTCTCTTTCTAAGAATTATACTTACAACAACAAAAAATCAAAAATCAGTATGTTGAGAATGTTTGTCCCACATTAAAATGTTAAGAGATCTAGTAAGGGCTTATAAGGAGTTGAGCTACTCCCCCCATTGCCAATTGGTTTTGGGGTGGAACCTCAACTTCCTTCATGGTATCAGAGCAAGGCTTCACTTGTTGGGCCCAACAGCCACACGTGCTCCCACGTCACTCAATATGTGTCGTCCATGTGTTAGGCTTGAAAGTTCACCACTTGTTAGGCTTGACTTTGCAGGTGTTTCCAAAACGTTCCCTTCTTATACCGGATGTTTCACAAGCAATCCTAAAAGTGACCAGAAAAGAAAGGATATTGGACATTGAGAACAAATGGTTCAAGGAAGGAAGAAATTGTCAAGACTTGAATAGCCCCAAAGTTTCTAGCAACAGTCTTGGCCTCGAAAGCTTTTGGGTCCTCTTCCTCATTTCTGGGGTGGCATCAATACTAGCTCTCATCATATTTATAGCTTCCTTCATTTACAGACATGGGCACATCTTGATGCACCCAACTTGATTCAGAGGCCACTACAGGGAAAAACATTTTGACCATGTAACAAACTTTCAATGAAAAAGATCTCACCTGTCATACTTTTAAATTTACAAGTGAATCGCAATATGCAGTTGAGGCCTCACCGAGCAAACATTTCCCCAGATAGTTATGTGTTTTATGAAGCGCAAGAGACACTGACAACTGACGAATTATCTCCCAAAATAGTTTTAAGGAACTTGTAGTTTAAGTGGTTAAGAACAATTACACCGAGGCCCTGTTTGGCATGCTTTACTAAACCTCACTGGATTGGATTGTGTTAAATAGTCCTAAAAACCTATGTTTGGTAAGAAATGGAATTAAGTTAAATGAGATTATATAGTCCAATGGGTAAAAAAACATTGGACTCGCTTGTCTAATATAGCGAGCCCAAAACTTGATTCGCTAAATAGCGATGGTGCTATTCTGAACGTGCGAGTCCGACTGGATACCACCACCACCGTCAAACACACGAGCTTGACCACCAGCACCATAAGTCCACCACTGTCAGACCACCACCATCAAACCCATAACCAGCCGCCAGAGACCCAATCGAACCATCATTACCACCCAATCAGTCAAACAAAGCATCATCACCACCCATAAACAGCCACCACATACTCAGTTCAACAACCATCATCACCTAATTAAAACCACCACAACCATTAATTAGTGAAACCAGAAAAAGAGAGGGGTGGGTGTTTGCAGCCACCACATACCCAGAAGTGGATCTGGCTCTCTTAAAAGTTGGGGTGCAGCATGAAGAGAGAGTGAAAAGGAAAGAAGGAAGAAGAAAATAGAGGAAATAATAGGAAGAAAAAAAGAAATAGAAGGAACGGCCTGGAAAGGAAGAAAGAAAAAAAAAAAAAAGAAGGGAGTCTTTGGAAGGAATAAGAAAGGAGGAAGAAAGAAACGGGCCAGAGATAAGGAAGAAGAAGAAAAGTCAACGGAGAGAAGAGGAAGAAAGAAAAGAAGAAAAAGAAAAAAAAAGATAAGATAGTTTGAAGTGTATGGTTCAATTTTTGTTTGACCAGGGATAAGATAATAAACCACCACATACTCACTTATTTATTTTCTTTTTATTTATTTTTAGGTAAAAAAAGCCTTAATTAAAATTAAATATTAGAATTTTATTAATTTTTTATTTATTAAAATTAAATATTAAAATAATTATTTTTAGTCCGGCACAACACCAAATATAGGTCTTTACTATTTTTATAATCCAACTTCTTAGTCCGACGTAACACCAAACATAGGTCAGTACTTAATCCAGCTTAAGCCAATCCGAGCTAATTCGAGACAGTTCAAGGATTTAGTCCCGTCAATAACAATCCGCTGTTCCAAACGACCCCCGAAGGTACTGTGTTTGAATCTCCCATCTTTCTGAATGGCTTGTATCAAAAAGTGTGTTTTCGAACGGGCCACAAAAGTTACAACCAGCTTTAGGCCCAAATCATAAATTTGTTTCTTGGATTTTCAAACGCAGCAGCAGCCCATTTCATAACCATAGGCCCATATTTACTCAGCATCACCTTCAGTTTGTTTGTCATCTTTCTTCTTTACTCCTCTTTGACTCTACGAAACCCTAACATTCCCACGGAGTAACAAAAACAGCTCTCTCCATCTCCACAGCATAAACCCAAGACCCAAAATTTCCCTCACTTTCTTGCAATTTCCCATCCTCCAAACACCCCACAACCAATATGAGCACAATCAGTCTCCGCAAGGTGAATACCCGTCTTCCTCCGGAAGTCAACCGCGTGCTCTACGTCCGCAACCTCCCCTTCAACATCTCCAGCGAGGAGATGTACGACATATTCGGCAAGTACGGCGCCATACGACAGATTCGCATCGGCACGAACAAGGACACCAGAGGAACCGCCTTCGTCGTCTACGAAGACATCTACGACGCCAAAACGGCGGTGGATCATCTCTCCGGCTTCAACGTGGCTAATCGGTATCTGATCGTTCTCTACTACCAGCAGGCCAAGATGAGCAAGAAGTTTGACGCCAAGAAGAAGGAGGACGAAATCGCCAGAATGCAGGAGAAGTACGGCGTCTCCACCAAAGATAAGTGATTTTTCGTCGTTCTTCTAGTTCATGTTGTACTGTTTGGATACTGGGCTATCCTATTTCTTGGTGAGGATATGGTTATCTTTATTCCTGGATTATGTAATGAAATATGCTTGCTATTTGGGTTTTAGAGGAGTGTGTATGTTATCCTGAGCTTCGCATAGTTACAACAGTTGATTTTAATTTCGAACAAGTGCTATTGGAGTTGCATTGTTGTCGTATATGTACAATTTATAACCAGATGCTAATGATGTTTTGAGAAGAGGAATATGATACATTGATTGATTACAAAACTTTCCTAGCACAAGCACGCTGTTTTTTGACATTTTCTTTGTACACAAACATAAATTTAACAACTGATGTTTTATCTCAATCGGGTAGGTATTGTTCAAGACGCTCTTTAATTTTTTGGAATGTTATGGGCTTCGGCACAAATGAGTCCATCCCACTTGCAAAACACTCATCTGCGCTCTCTGAAAATGCATTTGCTGTCATCTGCATCATGATATGATGATGCATTAGTATTTAGTATTTAGTAGGGTAAGAGAAAATCTTCTGTCAATATATGCTCACCGCAATGATTGGAATTCGGTTTCCCGAAGGCGTATAACTGTGACCATTTTGTAATGCATCTTGAGAAGGCACGGTTAGCTCAATTCCTGCTTTCTCAGCAGCATCCCAGTTGCCAGTTTCTTCGAAGGAACGTATTATTCTTGTAGTTTGTAGGCCATCCATAACCGGCATGTGAACATCCTGCAAAATTTAGGTAATGCATGAATACCAAGACTAATATTCTTGTGTTCATATAAACCAACAAACCCTTGGGAGTTTTGTGGAAATTATGTACCATCAGAATGAGATTGTAACTACAGTGTTGAACTGCTCGCACAGCTTCAATTCCGTTATTCACAACATCAATGCTATGGCCTAACCGCTTCATCATGTTTTGCGTCACCATAACATTAATTTTGTTGTCTTCAACTAGAAGAATCTTAGGTTTCGATGTTGATTTTGGTATATTTGATGAAGTACTCTCCGAGTCTGCATCAGATTTCTCCTGCCTCTTACATGTTCCTTGGGGTTCTCTTAGCTTTGCTGCTACAGAAACTTCTCTGCTTGGCTCTGCGTGAGAACTTGAGTCTGTGTTTCTAGAATCTTGGAATTGATTATTTGTGTCATCTTGACCCTGTTTGTCTGCATGAGCTGGAGTTTCGCAGTTATGATTGGAGATGTGACTCGCTGAACTCTCTGGTTCAGATAATGTCTCAGCAACATCAATTGCTGAACAGCCATTTTCAACTGAAGCCATCTCCTCTGGGATGATGTTATTTTGGGGAAATGAGTACGAATTTTGTGAGAACCCATTGAGTTTATGTGAACCACTAAAACCGATCTTTTGTGGTAACAACTTTTGGGTCCTGCTGGATCCATTACAAGAAAACAGAGACCCCAGAGTGCGTGGTTGGAACTGGAAAAAGCTCTCGGCTACTTCATCAGTTGCAGCATCATGATTAGCCATATCCACGACTTCTTCAGGATCATCGGGATCATCAGAATGGTCAGACAACGTTGAAACCTTGTACGGGAGTACAAATGTAAATGTAGACCCGCAGTGTTCTTGGCTAGACACTGTGAGTTGACCCCCCATTAGCTCAACCTACACCAAACACATTCAAATGTTTCAAGAAGGCGATACAGAAAGATTGGCTTCAACTCTCTACAGTAAACTACTGCTCTGATTTTGAGCCTAAAAAAACAAAACAAAAAACTATACTGTATAGGAAGAAGTGTTTACCAATTGTTTGCATATTGCTAGTCCTAATCCCGTGCCTCCGTATTTTCGAGCATGATCAGCACTGACTTGCATGTATCTTTTAAACAGAGAAGGTAAAGCATTTTCTGAAACATGAAAAAGCAAAAGAACACAGTGAGAAACAGAGAAATAGATTTCATATAGAGAGAATCATTTAAAGCATTACCTGGTATTCCAATTCCTGTATCATATACATCACAGCGCAACCAAACCGTTGTGGTTTGAGGTTCCTCCTCTTGATCTGCGTCCATTGAGACTTCACTCTTAGCCGGGGTCCTAGGTTCATCATTAAGTGAATGATTCTGGTAAGGTCCGTCGACGTGAAAACCTTCTCGATCAGCATCCTCTTTCAGTCCATTTTCTGAAACAGTTGATTGATCTGCATTCAACTTTTGAGGACATCTTTCACCCTCTTCCAAAGATGGATCTGATACCACGTAAAGTCTTATCCCAACTTTCCCTTCATGAGTAAATTTGATTGCATTGCTGCCAAACGTAGAAGCTATCAAAAACTAAAGCCACAACCAAGTATATCCACCTTGCATGGAAGCATACAAAAAGACTGCAAGAATCTGACAAGATCCGTACCTGATCAAGTTGGTGAGGATTTGACGAATCCTTAGAACATCTCCAATGACCTAAAATTAACACACTGAATATTAAAAAAACATACATATTTGCATATGAAAGGCGATAACTACACAATGATATATAGATGTTTGTTACAATCTAAAACCTCACCTCCACAGGAACATCCTCCGCTACATGTCCTTCCAAGGTCAATATTTTCTGCAATGATGCTGCTGCAGTCTGTAGTACATGCTTCACTACTTCTCTTGGCCGGAACTTGGTAGCTTCCAACTTCATTACTCCTGACTCCACCTTGGAAAGGTCAAGGATGTCGTTTATCAGTTGAAGGACCAAATCTCCTGAAGATAACATGACATCCAAAAGCTGTCGTTGCTCTCTATCAAGTTTCGTGGTGGTAAGTATCTCAGCCATGCTCACAACCCCGGAAAGAGGTGATCTTATCTCATGAGACATTGTTGCCAGCATTTGCTTTGCTCGCATTGTCTCCTCTGTGATGTGAATTGTTTTGTTCAGTTCTGTTTCCTTGGCTTTTTGGACGGCGATTTCCTCCCTAAGCTTTGCCATCTTTTCTCTTTTCCTCACCTGTTGTTTGTGCAGAAGAAACACAAATACCCTTTAGTGATCAGAAGAAAAGTCTTGAATTGAACACTGAAACATATAAAATGCAAATACCTGATCAGTTACATCCATCCCCATGTAATTTATACCAATTGTCTCTCCTGCCTTGCTGAAGACAGGCTCCACATATATCAAAAATGTTTTTGACCCAAATAATGGTGTCTCAAATGTAATCTCCCTTTTTGCAGGTAACCCCTTTTCCAGAACTTCCTTCTTGAAGTCTTGAGATTCCTTAACGCCGGCCCCGGTAAAAATCTCAACATCTGTTCTTCCTATAATGTCCTGGCAAGAAGAAAGGACAGAATATATTTAAGGTGGTTTAGTGTCAGAGTGTCACTTAAGCAAGGCAGTAATTACCTCCTTTTAAATTACATTGAAGTTATACAGCAATCCTATCAAACCTTGAATAAGAACTTATTAAGTGGTAATTAATTACCTCCTCTTGCAGACTTGGGAAGTGATTATAGATAAACCGATACCGCAATTCCTTATCCTAAAACAGAAAATTATCAAGAAAAATTTAATTAAAAAAGTGATCAGTGAGGTCGTTTGAAACATAAACATAGGATTTACAATGTATCAGTCAGTTACCTGATGTCCAATAACAACAGGTGCATTCTGAAGTACAAAATGCAAGAAATTATCTGCTCTTTTCAAAATCTGGGACAATTCTTCCACCGGTGATGACTGCCTTTCAAGACTTTGAATGCTTTCCTGCAATTTATCCACAAGTATTTGCTCTCTCGCTGCACTTGCCTCCAACAACTTCTCCAAATGCATTGCCCTCTGCTTCCAGTACACAACAGTATCATACTCAGCTTCAATCTCAACTCTCTTGCTCTGAACAACAACATCATGTTTCTTCGGAGCAATATCCAGCCATATATCATAAACCTCATCCAAAATTGAAATGGGGCGCTTGTCTCCGCCATAACTTTCTTCCTCGAACCGGTGCTCTTCCAATATCTCCAACTTCTTGAGCTCAACTTCCTGCCTTTGCTTGCTTAGGATGTCTAGTTCTTCTCTGAGAAGCCGCACGGCATTTGCCTGCTTATACTCCCAGTGTTTTACAAGGAATGCTAGTTGAGAAGAGCCCTTGTCGGTATAGTTGGTTAGCTCCAAGAGACGCTTGAAATCTACTATAGTTGGTTCCTCTATAAATGTGACCTCCTCCAACATGTCTTGATCTTGTCCTGGCTTGTCTATGTTAAATTGCTTCCCTGCATCAGCTCCGATATCTTCAGGCCACATGGAAGGCAGGACTTCCATGTCCATGTCTTCAATATTATCAGTCTCCATCTCCCAAACCATCAAATTCACTTAGAATTACCACCGTCTCAATCTACCCATCTCAGTAAATCACTTTTTTTTTTTAAAATTTCTGCAGGAAGAAAAATGAAACAGTGAGAAGCCACAAATCAGTAAGAACCTGAAGAAGAAAAATAAATTTCAACATAGAATCATATTGAAGCATTAGAAACTATAATTAAATTTAAAACAAACAAAAAATAAATCACATGACTGAGAAACTCATACCAACTCTTCCCTGCACTACTTCAGTGATAAAAGTAAAATCGAATTAAGGCAGATAAAGTATGAAGTAGCCAATTCTGGTAAAACCCTGATGCCAAAAATAAGAAAGTAGACCAAATTGAGGATTTTCTCTGAACTCGTGAGTAAACAGAGAACAGGGGTTTATTCGATGTAGAAATAACAGAGGAAAACTGAGACAAATGTCAAGATTACATTGGAGGACAGGGAAGTAAAGAACTGAACGGGAAATAAACATATTTAATTTTAGAAACAATAAAATTCAAACATTTGCATTGCAAAATTCTTGGTTTAGTTTTAGTTTATTAAGATGAGAACAAAACTGTCAAAATCACAAATTCTTTTATTTAATGCTTTGAGTTCCAACTCCAAGTTAAATTAAACTCTGCCAATAGCAACACAAAGAACAGAGTCTTAAATCATTTTCTCATTTTGAATAAAAAGGCAAGAAAAGAACCCGAATTCGGCACAATGAATTCGAGATCCATCAGCAAAAACAAGTCAACTCATCCAATGGGGTTGATCAAGCTGTATAATTATACAACTAGATCATACCCAAATGAAGAATTAAGACAAAAACAGAGAATTAAGGACCCCCATTGGCAATAACTAACCTTTTTTGTGGCAGAACCAAGCAACCTGAAGAAAGAACAGAGCCTGAGAATGGCCAAAGCAGCAAAGCCTTACACTGTAGATCTGACTCTGGGGAATCTCATCAACTGTTTGTTTAGTCAAAAGCCTTTCACTGGTAATGAATCAATTAGAGAAAGAGAGAGAGAGAGAGAGGGAGGAAAGCAAGTGAGGGAAAGGAAAACAAAAAATATATGTGGGAGAGAGAGAGAGAGAGAACCAAGAAGCCATGTGCATTTGGAGGTCAAAAATATTAGAGAATTATTGGCTCCTTTTAAGATGGCCAATTTTTAAATTAAATGGGGGAGTGAATATAAAAAAAAACAAAACAAAACTTGTATTTTAATTAATCTTGTTTCTCTTTCTCTCTCTCTGTCTGTGTCTCTGTGTTTGTTTTTTGAGGTTACATTCAGAGCTCCTTTTCTGCTAAAAACCTCAGTCTAACAACCACACAAATCATTTTATCATCTGTTTGTTTCAACTTGCAACACAAAGCCTTAAGCTCTAGAGTATTCTTTGGCCTTCTTTCTCTCTCTAGAAAGGTGGCAGTTGGAGACGAGAGAGAGAGAGAGACAGAGAGGGGTTTTGGGGACTTGGAGTTTTTAAATGGGGTGGCAGATTTTGTTATTCCCCGCCCTTTCCTAGGTGACGTGTCTCGGTTGGCACGTGCGCATCACGCGCTACATGGGGGAGTTTGAGAGTTGACACACATTTTTACACAGTGGATTATGACTTAATTATAATTAAATAATTTTAATACACTTAACAATGCAGGGGAAAGCGGAGGGGAAAGGGGTGAGGAATCTTCTTATTTATTATAAGCTAAGCTTTTATGCTCTTTGATTAATTTAATAACTGGTCTCAACCCAATTGTGGTTAAGCACTTTTAATTTCAGTGTTTTGCAAACTGATCTTTACCTAATTTAATTAGATTTTCTTTTCTAAATTTATAAGCTTTGGTTGAAAAGATAATCTAAATTACTCAACAACACACCAAAATCCCTTTTTGGAAAATTAGGAACATGATATTTGTGGTTTTTCTTATTATAATTTGAATTATATATTAATAACTGGGAAAAAAAAATTCCTTGGAATTCGTATAGCGTATTCCTTATGAATCACGAGAGGGAGGCTAACGCGGTTGTGCCATGTTTTTCAGAGATTGCTAGGTGGGAGTGGCATGGATGATAGAACACGAGCCATGGTCTCTTGATTTATGTCAAACCCCATTTTTAATGGGTTTTTGTTCCTTGATTAATCGACATTTTATATATTCACATTATTATTTTTAATGAATACAAGTTGGACGGTGTGTGATAAAATGTTCTATCACTGATGCTACAAGTTTCAGTAAAATATTAAATGTATGACCTTCGGTAATGTAAAACGAAGTATTGTTTATAGCAAACACGTGGAATGACCGTTTTGTTTTTCCTCTCCAACATATACTTAAGAGTTGAATTATAATAAATAAAACATTGAGTAAGGGACCACCTGGCTGCTAATACATATTCTGAGTTTATCCTAGCTTACTGCGCCTTAAAGAAAACCCTCCTTTGCGTGTAAAAAAACATAGAAAAATGTCAATAAGTGATTGCTCGAGACAGCTTCCCTAACTAACACGAGGAAAAAATAAATAAAATAAAATGTCAATTGTGATATAGTCCCCCTTTCTACTGGGTTTCTGAGAGCACAAATTTAGGGTTTTGCAAAGAAATATTTAGGCCACCCATTTAACGAACGATTATCGTAATTAATTAGCTTTGACATTTGTTAAGGTTTTTCTATATATATATATATATATTTAAATTTAGGGTTTATCATACGTACACAAAGATTGACCGCAACATGTGCTGTAATTAAAATATATTAATATTTATTTTTTTATATGCTTGCCCTAGACATAGCGCAAACCCCAACATGCAATCCACCATAAATTTTGGTGCCAAAGCCAGGGTTAACCAAAGCTTTTGCTGCCATCTGTCCCTCCTTTAGGGTTGGTCGGTGAAAAACTTATTCTACATGTCCGTCTCTCTCTCTCTCTCTCAAATTCCCTCCCTGCACATGCATGTTGTTTGGTTGCTAAGAAACTTAAGTTACTGCATAGATTCATCGTGCATGATGCATGCATGGACTCCTAGCTACCTCGTTTTATTTTCATCTTTCCTCTTTTGCAAGAAAAGTTTTTACCTCCCATACACCTTCCTCGTGACCGGTACATGGACGATTTCTAACAATTGATTATGTGAAATGGTTAAAAACTTTCTATATACCATGCGTTGACGACTCACGTTAGCAACTTTTCGTAATTGTGCACTGATTGGTGTACGCATGTTTTTAATATCGGACCCATGCAATTAAACAAACAAAGTTTTCTGTATGAGACGCATCAACGATCAAGTGGCGGGCGGGGCTCCACAGTGTTGCAACAGCAGCCAGCAAATTGGCCACGTTGGGTGCGGGACCCATATGCTTTCCCATTTAGTGTGCACTTTTTTAAGACAGCTAGCTGATCCATTATCTCTCATATCTCAATCATACATTGCTACTAGACTAATGTTTTTTTATTTATTATTTATAATAAACTATTGCATTGCTGATGCAAAAATTGACAGTTATTTTCTTTTTTTAACTCTTTATTATTTTTTTATTATCCGTTCTTTCAACATTAAAATATCCCACCAAAGTAAGGACCTCAATAATTTGATGTTGTGGTTTAGAGAGTAGTTAGGGTCCGAATTCAATGGAGGTCAACGATTGTGGAGTTGGATGCTTGAAAGTTGCATGCGCCAAAGGATGTAAAAGAAGAAGATGGAAGATGAGAGAAGCCTATATGCTATATATAATCTAAACAAAGAAAACCGTTTTCTCAAGTCTCTCCTCCTATATTATATACAGAATATCTCACAAATACACGATGTTATGGTTTAATGATAATGTTATTGTCATTTGTGCGTAGATATTATGTTATTGTTAGTTGTGCGTGGACGCTATTATCAGTTGTATATGACGTTGAGCGTTTTCAACTATTTAATGATCAATATATGAAAATAAAACTATTCTCTTTTAGTTTATGTAAATGACAAAAACAATAGAGTGACTATGAATCGTACAAAACAATCACTATTTAGTAACGTTATCAAACTCGATCAATAATTGATCTCCAATTCCCGGATTTGGGACCTTAGGAGGAGGAAGCCTAGAAAACACCAAGACCAAACACAAATCCACAAACTGCGGAGCTACCCCTTCCTATTGACAACCTTGGATTTATCATGCATTTGTCATCACATAGCATCGCAGACAACTCCCTGACAAAATGGACTCCTATCAAGTCCATGCACTTGTAGGCCTTTTGATGTTGGTGGGGATTTCCCAAACACATCACAACTAAACCCAAAAAAATCAAAATCAAAATTGGAGATGTTTATTGTGGTAGTGCGCAACACCACTCCGGGTTTTCTTAGGATTAGAAAAAGGTAAATTATATTAGGCACAGATAGAAGAAGATAAAATGCATGTCATTGTCATAATTTCATACTTTTACTACTAGTATGTATATATATATATATATATATATTTGCAATTAGTTTCCCCAATTGAGTTGAGCTTAGCTGTTTAGTTATTGTACACACATTTAATTACTAGTTTAACAAAACAAAAGTATCAGGGAAAAAAAGAAGAAGGAAAGAAGACATGATGTCACACATACATGTTTCTTTCTTTTTCATAGCCTTTTACAAAGAGAAATTATAAAGTACTACGAATGAACATGTTATATATAAATATATATTATGGCCACAAACAAAATTAGTGTCCGGGGATCTTGGTTTCTTATAATGGAGCACTATCAATGAAAATGGGAGATATTTAGTTATATACCCCTCCTTAGCACTAATGATATAGATAAACCCTACACCATTTAATTTCTATAAACAAACCAAAAGAAAAACCTAAAAAAGAATAGATGGCCCTATTGAATTTAATTTTGATTATTAAATTATTTTGATGCCCTATTTAGTGTTTTGGATTTTTTTTAATGAGGTTTTAGAGTTGAGATGGTTTTAAGAAATTAATGGCAATTTTGTAATTTATAAGAAGTTAAAAGCCTCTTTGTTATGTTGTAAATGGGTTTTGGGTGTGTTTCTCCATTTCATATATGATTTTTTTATAATTTGGGTCTCTATATTGAGTATAATAGTGAATCTCCCAAAAAAGAGTGCCATTATATATATACAAATTTATAAATAAACCCAATCCTAGACATGTATTTATAAAAAAAAAAATCCAAGCACTATTTAAACATAGAAACACACCCAAAATCAACCTCAAAGTCAACTTTTTGGGTGTGTTTATAAATGGGTTTTGAGTGTGTGTAATGATGGGTTTTGGGTGTTTTTATATGTTTAAATAGTGCTTGAGTTTTTTTATAATTTCAACTCCCATTTTGGGTGTTTTATAAATAAACCAAATCCTAGACATGTATTTATAAAAAAACCCAAACACTATTTAAACATAGAAACACACCCAAAATCAACAATTGTATATATTTTTGGGTGTGTTTATAAATGGGTTTTGAGTGTGTGTAATGATGGGTTTTGGGTGTGTTTATAAAGTGTTTTGGGTGTTGAGTTTTTTTATAATTTCAGGCCCCATTTTGGATGTTTTAGTGAAACTCCCTTATATATAAGCAAAAGGAACAGACAATGCTATATATACGCAAAAGAATGTTTTAAATAAACAACTTTAATTCTTAACAATTTAATCACTCATGTTATTAATCCAATATATATATATAAATTAATCCACTTTTCCTTTTCTTTTTAGTTTGTTTTTCTTAGGACTTTTTCAAAAATATGTATATTTAAGTTTGAGGCCTTCAAGTCATGGTCTATTTCTCATCTTAAGGTTACCTGCCATTGGGCCTAATATTTGGTGTACAATTTTTAAGGACAGTACCTTCAGTTGATCTTGCCCAAGCCCAACAGGCACAAAACCCAAAAGGCCTACAGCTTTCTTATTTTATGGCTGATGAAGCAGTAAAATATTTGGGTGGCCCAAAATTCTTGGACAGAGTCTTACATTGCATCTACTAAAATGGGCTCATTTTAGCACTTAAAAAACATTCAATTCAAGCAATCAGGAAAGAGTCCCAATAGAACAACTCCAATGCTAAAGGGCAACAAATGGAGTAATTTTTGGGTGTTTAGGTACACCCATGGCTGGTGTACCATCCAATAGACGGAAGATATATAGAATATTTGCAATGCAGTGCGCCACATGTTATAAAAAGAGATGCAATAAGTTAGACAATAATTTCACATGTCTTATGTTTATTGGATGGTACACCAATCACGTGGTGTACCCGGAATATATAAAAATTTATCCAACAAATATAAGAGATATGAGATAAAACCAACGCACCCCACATGCATTTGGAATTGGCCCTTTTTAAGATGCCAAAATTTTCATAAAATGTGTGCAAAAATTGTTTCTATTTAAGAGTAATTTACTTGCCGACGAGATATAGTCCAATAAAAAAAGGTATTAATTTGCAAATTAATAATTTCAAGTTCGAACTCTGTCGCACCACCATAGTAACGTGTGTGTGAGAAATTCCCCTCTATTAATTGACACTATGACTTGTATTAAAAAAAGAGAGAATAATTTGATTGTTCCATAACTTCCACTACAGGATTTGCATTGTCATGCTGATGAGGTGGGTAGGTTTCATGTTGGACAAGTGTGAATGTTTTAACATGTGCCATTATATTGGCCGCATTTTTTATGTGCCTAGTTAATGAGATTTGTTTTTTCTGGTGTATAAATTAATAAAACTTTTTTCCACCCACTTCACATTTTTCTTTTCAACCTAAAACCTTATAAATTATTTTGGAATTGAAGGCTTAAAATATATATATATATATATATTTGGTCATCATATTTCACAGCTTCAAACCTCAAACCAACTTTTGCTTTTCCTAAATTAGTAAAAAGCTGCAAAGAAAAACAATGGAGACATATAAGCCTTGAAACGGCAAGTTCCCCCAAAGATTCCCCAATCAAAAATCAGACTTCCAGGTGCGCCCCACACCCAATGTGCAAGGCCGAAGACCACGACAAGTAATCAAGCAATGGAGGAGGCATTGTCCCTCGATTGGCTGTGATTTCCATTTCTGTCACAGCACGTGACTGGATCACTCGAACATGATCACATTAAAATCCCAGTTATTTATTTATTTTCCATGAAAGAAAAAAGAAAAACCCAAGCTTCCCTTTTTTTTTTTTTAAAATAAAAAAAGCTCAAACCTCACTGTCTCTTTCGTCTCTTCTAGAGAGAACACCCAAGAAGCCAACGTTGGGAATCAACAGGAGAGAGAGAGAAAGAGAGAAAAAGAATTTTTCTTCTCAAAATTATTGTTAACGTAACCAAAAAGCTAGAACAAGAAACATACAAGGGAAGAGAAGCAGAGGTCGCCATGTATAAAATAAAGAAGCTTCCTTTGTCTTGTTACACTTACCAAATTATTGATTGAAACCCTAACCCTAATCTGATTTCGCTCTTTCGCTCTCTCTCTGGGTTGCTTCAGAAAAAAGAACCCTAATTTCCTAGTGGGCGAGTGAGAAAGAGCTAGAAAAACCCTAAATTGAGCTTTGAATTGTGGTGATTACTGTAAATTATCGATGAGAAGGATTGCGATTGGGGAGGAGTTAAAGATCGAAGCTGGAGAGGCGTAGATGCATGTCGCGGGAGTGAGCTTGGATCTGAATTGGTTCCTTCAATTCATATTTACTGCGTTTATAATAGCGTTTGGATTGCTACACTTTGTGAAGAACACGGCCTCGAAGTACTTTGAGGTCGACGCCAACTTCGAAGGAGGAGACCACAGTGATCGGACCCAAATGCCGGGTGCTCTAATGGAGGATCCGGTTTGTGCCGTGTGTGGCAATTCGGGTCCCAAGAAGTGCTCTCGCTGCAAAGCCGTTAGATACTGGTATTCGTAATTGGATATATTATTTTTTAAATTTCTGTGCTGTTTTGCTAAACATGGGATGTAAAAATTGCGTCTTGCTAGTTTGATTAGCTCACAGTGTGGCTTTGTTGGGTATGCTTATTTATTTTTGTGTGTTATTATGGTAATTTTAGTTGCGTAATTGTTACTGTTGTGATGGATTATTGTAAAGATCTGTTTTTCAATGAAATTTTACGTTGCTAAATGTATTTGATACAGTTGGTTATTTTCTGTTGATCATGCCCTGTCGCAGCAAATAGAGAGGGCAGAGTTATTGTTTAACTGAAGTTATTAAGTTTCTTAGGGGTGCTTCAAGCCGATGGTTTGTTGTCTCTATTGTATGTACATGTAACTTTCCCCTTCCAAATATTGACCCCTCTTTTAATTTTGCAGCTCGCAAAAGTGCCAAGAAAAACATTGGAAATCAGGGCATAAGACAGAATGCAAAAACACGTTGAGTAATTCTAGATTTAAAACTTCAGGCGGTGGGGGTAAAACTTTCTCCGGACTCGCACTTGTTCCCGTTCGTGGAATTTCTAAGCATATCAAGAAGCCGAAAGAGGTGAATTTTCAGTTATTTTTTCATAAGAATGTTGTGCACATATTTTTTGCAATTCTTATCTGACCCTTAGATGCTTTAACCAACACTTAATACTTTGCAGATTCTTTTTCCCTATGATGAATTTGTTCAACTTTTCAATTGGGACAAGCTCAGATTTCCTCCTTGTGGACTCTTAAATTGCGGCAACAGGTTTTTGTTTACCATATTCACGATTCATTATAATACCAATGTATTCATTTTAAACTACAGATATTCACATGCCTGTTGCCCGCACACACTCATGCACCCACACTGACACTCGCATCATACTTTTTCTACCTTCAAATTTGTTTATGTTGCTAATTTCCCTCTTATTTGCAGTTGCTTTGCCAACGTGGTTCTACAGTGTCTTTCGTCCACTCGACCGCTTGTTGCCTACTTGTTAGTGAAGGGCCATCGGAGAGAATGTGCAGTCCTAAAACAATTCAGTGCTATTTTTTATGTTATAGGTGCTTAAACAATTCCTCACTCATTCAACAATTATTCCTTTCTTGCTTTTCAGGCATATATGAAGATTGGTGCTTTCTTTGTGAATTTCAAACCCATCTTGAAAGAGCAAGCCAAAGTTCCCAGGCCTTTTCACCAACCAACATTATCTCTAGATTACCAAATATTGGTGGTAATCTTGTCCACGGGAGGCAGGAGGATGCACATGAACTCATGAGGTTTCTTTACTTGCACTTTATCTAGTTTCTTTATCTATTCTGATAGATGTTACATTGAATACATTGTTAAAAGTCTTCCGGAATTCTTCTGGTATATAATGGTTGTTGAGTTGTATTGAAATTCACTGTATTGTTTTGTAGGTTTGCCATTGATACAATGCAGTCAGTCTGCCTTAGTGAGTTTGGTGGAGAGAAAGCTGTACATCCTAGCACTCAAGAGACAACCATTATTCAACATATATTTGGTGGCCTGCTACAATCTCAGGTTATGCATCTTATGGTCAAGTGTGAAGATGTGTTTTGGAATTTGGCATTACTTTTGGGACTTTTAAATAGTGGTTTTCGTTTAAGTTATTATTTATTTCATTGAACGATTGAGCCTGTTAATTTGTATGTATGTTTTATTAGAGAATGTTTAATGCCATTTTTTTGGTCATCTGTCAGTTCCCTTCTAATGTATTTCTTCTTTTGGAATATTTTCCAGGTGATTTGTACAAAATGCAAGAATATATCAAATCGGTATGATAATATGATGGATTTAACTGTCGAAATTCATGGGGATGCTTCATCATTGGAGGAATGTCTAGACCAATTCACCATCAAGGAGTGTCTTGATGGAGAAAATAAGTATAAATGTGATGGGTATGTCTCTGCCTTTTCTCTGTCAATGCGATTCGTTATTTATTATTTCCTTTTCCAGTCGTAGGTTGTACATTTTCTTGTCTATTGTATGGTCTCCTATGAGATATGATATATTGTTACTGTTAACAGGTGCAATGACTATGTCAAGGCTTGCAAGCGCCTTACTGTTAAGCGCGCTCCAAACATTCTCACAATTGCCTTGAAAAGATTTCAGGTATCAGCTATACTCTTCTTGTACATGTTTCTTGGTTAATTGATTGAACTCATGTTACAATTAAAGTAGATCTTTCTCAAATAACTTGGAATAAATTAAAAACCTGTATCATGAATGATTCTATCCACCAAAATGAAAGCATTTTATTTACCCACTTTTAGATTTCAGTTGGAAATACAATGTGTTAATACCATTGGATTTGGGTCCAGAGCCATGAGTTCTTTTGTAGCCCCTACCAAGTCTTACTTAGTAGTACTTTAACGAATAAATCAATAGTCAACAGCATTTTTGTTTGATTCTATACTTTATAGATGAACTTGGGATTTGTAGTTGCTGGTTAGATGGTCAATTTAGGTTTATAATAACCCTTTCTGTCAGATGGGAATGTTTGTTGCACAAACTGTGTAGAAACTCCTTGTGTTATTTAAAGATTCGTATTTATGCTGGAGACTTTGCCTTCCATAACTGCGAACACATCATCTTGAGTTGGTGCTCTAAAATGAATTTGGTTGATGCTTTTAGGCTTATTTATATGATTTATAAAATGTGTTGATCAAATTCTTGAGTGATTGATTGATATTCTGTTGATTCCTGAAATTGTTATGTTGACAAACATTTCAGAGTGGCCGGTTTGGGAAAATTAACAAGAGAGTAACATTTCCTGAAACTTTAGATTTGAACCCCTACATGAGTGAAACGGGAGATGGTGCAAATATCTACAAGCTTTATGCTGTTGTTGTACATGTGGATATGCTAAATGCTTCATTTTTTGGACACTACATCTGTTACACCAAGGACTTCGGTGGAAACTGGTATAGAATTGATGACTGTAAGGTGAGATCTCTCTCTCTCTCTCTCGTAGATATTTCCTGACCCACTCTCTTTTTTAATTGTTCTACTGGATACACCAATGTTCCTAATTGGATATCAGTAGCAAAGATACTTGTGATCTGTGGATACCTGTTGACCTCTGTTAATAGTTTCCATGGATACTGCAATCTGGAAATTGGTCTTGATGAAAAATTAGTCTGATGGTGGTAATTACAAAGGCTTCCTGGAGCAGGAGTTGTTGATTTGGTTTGTTTTTTTATCTACTGGCTTGATGATGTGCTGGTTTTGAGGACATACTTATGGCCTTCCCTATTGCAGAAAATACACATGGGCATGCGACTTTTATTTAATATAAATAAGTTACCCAAGCAGCCACTTTCTTCTGACTTGTCTTGCTACTTCTCACAGGTTGCGACTGTAAATTTGGAAGAGGTGCTTTCCCAGGGGGCATATATGCTATTATACAGCAGGTGTGTATATTAGTGTGTACTTTTACATGTTATTCTCGAGTTACTAAATTAAAATTCTATGTAGTATCTTTAACGAATGCAATGTGTGTGACTGTGGACCGTAGTTTCAAACTGACGTACATTTTTTTTTTTTGGTGTGAAAAACACTAGGTTGGATGCTCTAAATGATTCTGGTTGCCTGTTGTTGTGCAGGGTTCAGCCACGAGCATCTTGTCTAACCCTTGAACCTCCAAGGAAAACAGAGGAAATGATCGATGTTGAAGTACAGCCATGCCGTAAAGAACAAGTTGAATGTTCCACTGTTGAGTCTGCAGATTCTACATGCCATTCTGGGTCTGTACCATCTGACACTAGTCTGCCTCCGCAGATTTCCAGCTGTGTAGACTCAAGTGCTGTAATCATCCCTGAAGCAGTAAGAGAACGTTCTGATAATGCGGATCTTAGCCTTAAATCACCATCATCTGTTCCAAAAGAGGTTTGCATATTTCAAAATAATACGCTTAGTTCCCTGTCAAGTCCATCTGTTTCAAGGGAGAGGGAGATTTCTAGTTGCGAGAAGGTCCCTGCTGGTAAATTGGATTTAGATACAGTAAGAGGAGATCCAGTTGTTATAGCTATACCTAATGGTGAGTCATGTCGGCCTGTTTTGGATGATGTATCAACACGCTGTGAGAAGGATCTCTCTTCTTCAGGTGGTGAATATGTAAATGGCAATTCAGAAGACATGGATATCGATAATTGCAAGTCAGGTTCATTGGTTGCAGAGGACATTGGAATTTGCAGGAGCAATGGGCCAACGTGTGCAGATGGAATCACTTCTCCAGTTGCACATTCTGGTTTCCTGAATGGGAATGGAGTCTGTAGAGTAGAAAAAGTAGACAAAGGTTAAATAATCAAGGTGGACTTCGTAACACATTATTATTTTGTCCATAATTTTTAATGATCCCCTCATCACCAAAAGGAAAAGATTGAGCTGGGAATTTTGCCTGGGGTTTTCATTATTTACAGAAATCTCAGATTCTGCATAACACTTTAGTTGGGAGAGTCACTGGTAAGGTGACTGAATGTAATCTGGTCATAATGAGTTGGAAGAGGAATTCTTTGTATCTGTACTTTGAATTAATGTTATCTTCATTGGAAATATGAAGTGTTTTTTTTTCTTCCTTGCCCAACAGAACATGAAGCTTTTCATATGCTGTCTTCTTGTAAATTTGAATTAGCACATTGCTTTTTAAGTCAAATTTCGTTGATTAAATTTGGGTTGATCAGTGGCAGGAAACAAAGAAGTAAATTTCTTTTCTTTTCTTTAGAATATTAATTAATTAATTAAACAACTTCATAAAACTTCAATTTTATAATCCATTTTGGCAGATGGGGAAAAAGAAGCCTACTTGGAGACCCGAGCTTGGTGAAGTGATGACATCGAGATCTCTGCGTTGAGGGCCGGCCTTGAAGGCCTTGGACATCGAGGAATTTGAGAGAGAGAGAGAGAGAGAGAGAACAGGAGAAAAAGCAAATATATAAACAAAAGAAAATATAAAATAGAACGTAATCAGCGGCTTTCTCGCTTTGTCTTTTATTCCTTGTATTCTTGTTTGAAAATTGTTTGGTTCTGGGACTCGAAGAATCTGGTCTGGGCATTGACTTTGAAGTAGACAAAGTATATATCTTCACGAGTGGGAGCTGCAGACCAGCCACAGATTCCTTAACGAGGCACAAGTTTTGCTTTTTTCTTTTTTTTTTTGCTTTGCAAAACTCTGCAAAGGTCAGCTGCAGCAAGAAACCCAAAACCACGCATCTGAAACATGACAAAGACAAACCCTTTAACCCTTTGGAGCCTTTGACAATGTCACATTTTTGTATTTTTCTAATCCAAAATCCATGCCATATTGTCTTTCTTTGCAACCAACCAGCCGTGCTTGGATGCTCGCTCTCTCTCTCTCTCTCTCTCTCCCCCTTTCTTTTGTGTTAGAAAATTGAAAAAGAAAGACGACTTATTTAAAGTGGAGATACCAAACTAAATGTGTTCAAGTGCAACAGGTTTTGTTTGGGGCTTTGGTATCCGAGGCCAGAGCTGAGAGAGAGAGAGAGACAGAGAGAGCAGAGTCAACCACTCACCCTACTTACTTTCACACTCTGTATTTTGTAGCAATGCCTGTATAGAAAAGCAATATACTCTTTGTTTTATAAATATGGGATGAAAAGAAAAACCAACCCCTCGTGTGTTTGAGTGTTATTGTGTGTGTGTGTGTTTGGTATCTAACAAAGTGTCAACCCCCTTACAAAAAAAGCTTCCCAGGAAGCTTCACACCTTCCTTCCTCCTTGGCTCGCTTTCTCACTTTTTTTTTCTTCTGTCTTTTTTTCTCAAAACCCAATTTAAAGAGAAGGCCGAAGACCCACCAACCTCACTCACTGCCTCAGCTACTCATCACTCTCACTGTCTTCCATTCAGACTCACGGAGCACAAGCACTGGAGAAGAAGCAGGTACATTATCTTTCTCTGTTCATCTTCTCCTTTTGTCTTCTTCTTCTTCATTTGGTGTTTGTCTTGTTTCACTCAATTTTCTTGAATAATTGTGTTTTAGTCTGTGGAACAATTTTGTTTCCGTTTACTCTAACCCTTGTTCTGTGTCGAGATCTGTTACTTACTTGTGGACATACACACCAACTCTCTCTCCAATTTCATCTTCTGGCTCTGAAAATTTTAACTTCACTAGCTGTTCCTTTAACTTTAGGTCATCCTCATTGGTCTGATTTCTGTCTTAACAAGTTTTACATTCCTCAAGTCTGGTATTTTTGACTACCCAGATATGCATTTTCTCATGGGTGTTTTCAATCCCTATTTGCTTCAGCAATTTCAATTCATCCCCATTTCTTATTGCTTGCTTCTCACTGTTTTTGACTACATTATGATGACTACCCTCTCCGCAGATTGATTTTTCTTTGAAGTTGGAATCTTTATTTACTAGATTACGTTGCTTTTCAGCGTCCTCCTTTGCCCTACAAAAGGTTTTATCAATAATCTAAATAGCAGATAGGAAATAGGAACGCAAGGATAGGGGGTGCTAGATTCCCATTTCATATTACATTCTGTATGCACTTGATATGAGCCCATTACTTTTGTTTCTCTGGTTCTATAGGATGAGCACAGATATAAATTTCCCAAGTAACACAATCATCCCTTATCTTTTGCAGTTGTGTTCTTCTCCCTAATTTCTAGACGATGGAGGACCAAAATTGCCCGGCTTCTGTGATGACTCGGAAGAGAAAATCCCAAGAAGAAGATAATTGCATTTCAAGCACCTTTTATATGGATGAGCTTAATGAAGACCTCCTGGAAAGGGTCCTCTCAAGGCTACCAACCTCTGCATTCTTCCGCCTTACTTCGGTGTGCAAAAGATGGAAATCGGTTGCATCTTCTCCTAGTTTCAAGCTTGCCTGCTCTCAGATTCCTTCACGGGATCCATGGTTTTTCATGGTCGATCCCCTTCTCAATCAATCAATAGTCTTTGACTCCACTGAAAGAAGCTGGAAAAAACTTAATCATCCACCTCTCCTCCAGAAAAACTCCAACTGCAATTCCATGCCTGTTTCAGCCTCTGGTGGCTTGATCTGTTTCCGAAATTCATATGGCAACTTCATTGTGTGCAACCCCGTGACAGGGTCTTGCAACGAACACCCTCCGCTGGATCCATCACTACAAAATCTCACCTTCCATGCCATTGTGATGCATTCATGTCCCAAGTATGAGCAGTCCTCTTACAAGCTTGTTGTTGTCTTTGGTGAACTTCCAAAGCTGTCATTCAGAGTGTATAACTCAGACACCGGTTCCTGGGAAGAAGAGACCGCCTTGTGTAAGAAGTTTGATGATGATTCTGCAGAATCTGAATCAAGTGAGGACAATGCTGCTGTTTACTTCCTTAGCAAGGCTGGGAATGTAGTGGCAACCAACATGCAACGAAGCCCATCTAAGCAATACTCATCAGTGATCACTACTAGTAAAGATGGCGAGGAGATAGTCCATTTCCTAAGCTCATCAGGGTCAGTTGTGGCTTGCAATCTGGCCACCAAGTGCTTCTCTGAGTACCCCAGGCTTTTGCCCGTCTTCTTCGAGTACTCCATTGATTTAGTGGAGTGTGGAGGCAGGATGTTAGTGATTCTGCTGTCAGAATTCTTCGAAAGCGCTAGCCTCAGGGTGTGGTGTTACGACGAGGATGTTCGATCTTGGCACCAAATTGCAGCAATGCCTCCAGCAATGTCCCATGAGTGGTATGGCAAGAATGTGGATATAAACTGTGTTGGGGCTGGTGACCAGATACTGATCTGCTTAAGCTCTGCTGAGATTTCTAGCTGTGTTCTGTGTGACTTGGCTGCCAATGAATGGGTTGAATTGCCCAAATGTTTTATGGATGGTGAAGCCATAAAGTTCATGTCTGCCTTCTCATTTGAGCCAAGGATTGAAGCCTCTGTATGATTTCGACTTCATGCCTGCCTTCGGATTTTTTTCTTTTCTTTTTATTTTCTTCTTATTCTTTTAGCATTTGTCTTACATTCCATTGTTCTGTATGCGTTGTGTAGGCAATTTAGCCAAATGGAAATTGGCATGATTTTATTATACAATGAGAAGTGTTTTAGATTGATGGCTACTTGTAGCACACTTGAATAGAAGACTTACATTTATTGGCTTTGTATCTCTTCATGTTCTAGTGAATTTTCTCTCTTCTTCATAAACATAAACAAACACTCTCTTGTGCGATTGAGGTGTGTTACGATTAGTCACCTGCACGATTTTTTTTACCATAAATCAGATCCGAGTCCCACATTTAATCAATGGACAGAAATCACCAACATTTACGTGACTGAACTTAGCAAAATCCTACATAATTAATTACACGTTAACGGGGCCAAAACCTTATCAGCTTGTATTACAACAGGTAAACAAAACGACGCCAAAAATACTGTCGTTAACAAATAAAACACAGAGCGAATATAATACAGTGACGTGGAGAGAGATAATTGGAGACAGGTAGAGACAATCATGGGACGGCGCGCAGAGGATTCTTCTCGCGCCTTCGTTCAACGGTGACCTCCTCGCCAAGCCAAACCAGAGAAATAAAAGAGGACGAAGGCGCAGAAGAGAGATCCGATTCAATTCAATCGAAGACGAAAATGGAGTTTAAATCTAAAGACGAAAAGCGATTGGAGCAGCGATTGGAGGAGCTTCACAAAGACGTATCGAAGAAGCAGAAGTTCGAAGACGCCGTCGCCTCCCTCAATTCGCTGCTTCGGGACCACTACGACTCCGCTTCCCCTTCCCTTCGGAAATTGTATTACGGCGTCGTTTGCCGAGTCGCCACTGTCTTGAAGACCAGGTACACCTCGCCGGGTTTCTGGGCCGCCGGACTCGCCCTATTCCGGCTCGCCCAATCCCTCGTTTCTGACCCGGCCGAGAAGGCCCACTTGCTCTCCTGCATCTCCGAGGCCCAGCAGGTCGTTCATCAGGAAAACGACCCTCCACAGCCCTCGTCTTCTCCAAATCAAGGTCTTAGAGATCTTTTGCAGAAACCCTTTTTCATTTTATTTTGTTTGATTCGATTTTGATTTTTGATTTTGTTATTTAGGGTATTTGTTTGAGGGGCATCTGACGGTGGATCGGGAGCCGCCACAGCCGCAGTGGCTGGTGCAGTCGAATCTCATGACTGCCGCCTTGGCGGCGGGGTCGTCTTCCGTGCCGGGTCTGCCGGAATCCGGAAACGACGACAGCAACAACTCGGAAAGCGCGGTGAATTTGCTTCAGTCCCTCATCGATAACCTCGACAGCGTTTTTCCGCCGGGGATAATGGATGATGTGAGGGGGGCCCCGAGGGTCCCCCCTGCGAGCAAACGGGTGGTGGCGAATCTTCCGGTGATTACGATCACAGAGGAGGTGCTGAAGAAGCTCGGAGAGGAGGCCGAGTGCGCCATTTGTAAAGAGAACTTGGTTGTGAATGACAAGATGCAGGAGTTGCCTTGCAAGCACACATTTCACCCTCCATGCCTAAAGCCATGGCTGGTAAATTTCGAAATTTTTGTTCTTTAAACATGTCTCATTTGCTTGCATTGAATTCCAAATTTGAAGTAACCATCCGACGTGGTTGTTGGGTTGTTTTTGTTGTGGCAGGACGAGCACAATTCGTGTCCGATATGCCGGCATGAGTTGCAGACTGATGATCATGCGTATGAAAGCTGGAAGGAGAGGGAGAGGGAGGCTGAAGAAGACAGAAAGGGGGCTGCAAATGCCGTTCGAGGTGGTGAATACATGTATGTTTAGATGATGGTGATGATGATACTTGCTTCAACAATTTGTCAATTTCCAGCTCTACTCTAAGCTAGAAATTTTTATTCATCCCATCACATTAAGCATGGTGGTGGTTGTAATTTCAGACAAATAATAGAGCAAATGTGGTTGCTTTTCTTGTATAATCAGGCACGTTTTCATTTTAGAAATATTGAAACTTTTATATAATGTGGCACATTTTTATCATCTGTGATGGAAAATGTTTGAAGTTCTTCGCTGAGCTTTTATTATTTCTTCAGGTTCAGGGTTTGTTTTGGTTTTAGATGGGTAGCTGAACCTTTTCAATGCCATAGAAATTTTGAGTTATTCAGATCGATCATGTCTTGCAGCATCACAGATTGAAGAGGTGCTGTGGAGCTGTAGATAAAATAGATTGGGCTCTACATACATGGGCTAAGAATAAAATTCAAAACTCTAAAATTTCCCGCGGTTCAGATGTTAAATCCAGACTTTTTAATCAACTCTTTCTTTTGGGCCTCAAGTTGAAGTTAGAAAATGGGCCTAACTAATACCACGAGCACAAATAATGTAAAACATTGTGGCCGTTTTAAAAAATGCCATTGGAGGTAGAGGCCAAATCTTTTTGTGAAATCGTGGCGCAAGCGTTGAACAGAAAATACAGATTGCACTACTCATCATGTATGTAAACTATGTATTAGTAACTAGCAGCAAAGCAAAAACCCATTTGCATTTGACATGGAAATGGCCACTTGTTTCTCTTCCACTTCCTCATCGTCCTCCTCTGGCCTTGCCACCAAATTGGGAAGCGGATGTGATCATATCCCTCATCATGCCCAAACCCAAATCAATGGCTATGGTTCCTTCTTGGGGTGCCGTCGGAGGAGCAGAGTAAGAGCAGTAGTGGTCGCAGGTGGCTCAGCCTCATCTTCTACCAAGAAGACTGCTGTCAATGGCTATGTTGGTCCAGGCAGCTCCGCTGACAGATTAATCTCCACTTGGAGCGATTCTTGTTTGGTGGTACCTCCACCCTCTGGCAAGAAGCCTCGCGCCATCATCAAATTCTTGGGTGGTGCCTTCATTGGAGCTGTTCCTGAACTTACTTACAGGTCCCAATTTTTGTTTTGTATTTGTATAATTATTTTTTATTTTTTATTGGGTCCCTGAAATTCATGTGAATTGGTTGTTGCAGCTACTTAACTGAGCTATTGGCAAAAGATGGGTTTCTTGTTATATCAGTGCCATACAATGTGACCTTTGATCATGTCCAAGCTGCTGCACAAGTGTATGAGAGGTTCAATGCCTGCTTGGACACCATCTTAGCTTCTGGATTGCCTAATGCCAATCTATCACCTGCCCAACTTGCTCAACTGCCTGTGTTTTCTGTTGGCCATAGGTAATTGAGTTGAGTGGCTTCAAAGTTCATTATCATGGCAGCATTGGATGCACTGATTTACATATCTGCGTGTTTTTAATAATTTGTTTGTAGTAATGGCGCGCTTCTTCAAGTACTTGCAGGGAGCTATTTCTCTGATAAAGTCCCAAAGGTTTGTTCTGTTTTACAAGCCCTTTTGATAAGTAGATTGTGTAGTGTTGTTTCAAATTAAGTAATCTGATAAATTCGCTTAGTTTGACAAGCAATATTGTCTCCCTCTGATAAAAGGCCAATGCCATAATCGCATACAACAATAGACCAGCGACAGAGGCTGTGCCTTACTTTGAGCAGGTAATTGATATTTATCCTCTGCTTCATATCATGTATTAGAATTTGCGTTATAGTGTTCTAAAGTTTATATTACTATTCTGCAGCTAGGTCCTTTAGTTAATCAGATGGTGCCTATTGTAGAAGCATCTCCAGTTTCATCAATGGCTAGGACTGCCTCAGGTAGCTTCCTGACCTGCTTGGACCTTATTTAGTATTAGATTTCCGTTTTTCTTCCCTCTAGTTTTTCTGTAAGGATTGTATTATGCTTTCCCTTCCCCTCTGTGGCTTTCTTAGGTGTGATATGTTCTTAGAGAATTTAACTTGCTGCCATTTGTTATCCTTGTATTCGATTTGGTTGCATTGAAGATGTGCCAAATGAAAAGAATTTTAGGTACCTACCTTATTCATCCACTTTCATTGCATGTCAGAGCCAAATATAGTGTTGCTTCTTTACTTTTATGTTTATAATGTATTGGTTCATGAGAGTAAGTACAGAATCCTAGTTATTCTACGATGGTATACCCTGTGGTAAGCCATAGATCATCATGTTTACCTAACTTCCTCCATAGTTACATCCATTGAAGATTGAACTTCCATAAACTGAGTTACTGAATTGAGTGGTATACCATGTCGTGCGCGGCGTGCTCACACTTTCTGATACTCCCGCTTTTCACCACTTCCTGTATGTAGGAGATGCATGGAAGGCACTGGTTGATGCAGCTGGAGCAATGCTACCGGACAATCAGGAAACTCTAAGTTCGCTGACTAAATTTGTTGATCAGCTACCTTCAGTGCTAAATGAGGTATCTTGTTGGCTTGGTCGAAGTCATGCCCTTATGCTTTCAGTTCTTAATATTGGAGAGTAATTCTGGGGAGTTATTCTAAACAAATTCATAATCTTTCTGGCAGGTAACGCAAGGGATATCGGAATTTAAGCCAACACCCTCTGAAAATCGTGTTTTCTTTAAAAGCTCGTACAATGTCAAACACACACTACTGGTATGCGTGGTGTCCCGTTATTTTGAATAATCATGAAATGGGTGACAATGGTTTTATTCTCTGGCTTAAATATTGTTTGCATTTCAGGTGAAGTTCAATTTCGACGCAATTGATGAGACAGATACTCTTGAAGAGACATTGAAGCCTCGTGTGGAATCTATTGGCGGGACACTAGAAAAGGTCGAAATAAGTGGTAACCATATCACACCATGCATACAGGTGAACTGAACTCCAAACAATTTTGAGTTCTACATATCCTCTGTGCTCATTCGTCTGATTTAGAAGCTCTTTTATAATTATTATCTCATAGCCTCATCTTCTCTTTTATTCGGCTTGATCAGGAGCCAAAGTGGCAAGTAGGGAACGTGTACACTCCAGCTGACGCTATTGCTCAGAGTCTCAAGACTCTTTCTCTAAATGACGTTAGAGTCCTCTCAAGAACTATAAGCGACTGGTTCAGAGGCTTTGAAGATTGAGGTGCCATAGTTTCAATCAAATGGTATGTTGGACTTGTGTCTTTGCCCAATAGCTTATTTGTAAAGTTCATGTTACTTGGAAATTCCTGAATTGGGCCGCCAAGCCAAGAAGCATCTCATCTTTATTTGGTGTTGCCCTGTTAGGAGAAATCCAACTTGATTGTTTGTGTTGTGTCGGGTAACTGCTGTTTGATTTTAGA